ATTTGACAGAGATCACAAGTAGGCAGAGAGGCAGGCAGAGAAAGAGGGGGAAGCAGGCTCCCCACTGAGCAGAGAACCCGACTCGGGGCTTGATCCCAGCACCCTGGGATCATGACCTGAGCCCAAGGCAGAGGCTTTAACCCACTGAGCCACCCAGGCGCCCCTGAATTTTTATGTAAATATAGCATAAAGGCTGAACTTTAAAATTGATACACCCTTTTTTTTCAGGGCATGTCATTTTTAAAAGTTCAGCTTCTTAATATGATAAATTTACATAGATAGTACAACTTTGTAAATCCAAATGCTATTTCTAAACAGGGAACTAACTGGCTAATAATTTAAGGTAATTAAAAGAGGGATTAGCTTCCCTTGGGTCAGTGAGAATGTTCCTTATTTTAAAAGATCTCTGTGGTGGATCTTCTATAGGGGGAAAAGGCAACTAATGAGAAAAATGGGCAATATTTCTGCATGTAATGAGAGAGAATCTTTTTTTATTAAGATTTTATTTATTTGACAGACAGTTATATATTTATTTATTTATTTATTTACTCACAAGTAGGCAGAGAGGCAGGCAGAGAGAGAGAGGAGGAAGCAGGCTCCCCACTGAGTGGAGAGCCCGATGCGATGCGGGGCTCGATCCCAGCACCCTGAGACCTGAGCCGAAGGCAGAGGCTTTAATCCACTGAGCCACCCAGGTGCCCCAATGAGAGAGGATCTTAAGATAAATTTGAAATTATGGTATTTTATGGTGAACACATAAAATTTTGATTGTTACTATGAAAAATTTTATGAATCCTATATTTTTGAAATGTGATTTTTGGGTTTTTATTTAAGTAATCTCTTCACCCAAAGTGGAGATCAAGATTCAAAGGCTTCTCCTACTGAGCCAGCCAGTTGCCCCTAAAATGTGATTTTAGTATCGGTTTTTAATCACTGAAGAATTATACTGTTTGCATGGTATGCATGTATTTCCTATTTTGTTCACATTTCTGAAGCATATATTAACAATTTTTAGTGCTCACCATAATCTCAAGTGTCCTGGGGAGATGGTGGGTGGGATGTGGTGTAATAATAGCAGTAACCTACTAGAGATGGTTTTGCCCACCATTCATTAAAAACTACTCTATGTTGATTTCCTTAGGCATTGGGAATACAGGTGTGGTAAGACAGTCCTTGCCAAAAAGGACCATTCTAACAATGTACTGCGTATATACACACATACAGACATGCATGCAGAAATTATTACATCTTGTCCTAGTAAAACTTGGGTCCTCAGCAAATTGTATAGAGGATATAGTAGGGGCACAAAGAGTAATCTTTCTGGGGTTTGGAGTGGAAGAATCTG